TCAGAGGGTGAGTCTATGACCACCAGGGCAGAGAGCATGGCAGCAGGCAGACAGGCATGGCGCTGAAGCAGTGGCAAAGAGTTTGTGTCTGATCCCTCATCAGCAACTTGTAGGCAAAGAGAGCTGGGTCTGCTGTGACCTTCTGAAATCTCAAACTCCACACCCAGGGACACACCTCCTCGAACAAACCTACACTTCCTAATTCTTTTCCAAAAATAGTCCTACCAATTAGGGACCGAGCATTAAAATACATATGCTTACGGGGACCACTCCATTCAAACCACCACAGCCATCAATCTAAGTTAAAAATCAGTATTGTGACGAGATACTACCGTGTAAATAGCACGTGTGTAGAAGAAGTCAGAAGGAATTTTTATCTAATCTGTTCATTGCAAATGACTTTGAAGAGAAGAGGTCTCCATTCGACTCCGTATTGCTATAACAAATCACCTGAGACTAATTTGTAAAGAACAGGAATTTATTGTTCATAGTTTTCAGAGAGTAGGAAGCCTGAGATATGATCTTGGCATCTGGTGAGGATCTTCCTCCTTCATCTTTACATGGTAGAAAGCAAACGGGCAAAGGGCGGTGAATACTGCTGCGTCCTCACAAGGCCACAGAGCGGAAGGAGTGAACTCACTCCTGCAAAGCCCTTTCTTCTCTTTTCTCTTCTTTTCTTCTTTTCTTTTCTTCTCTTTTCTTTTTGGTTTTTTGAAACAGAGTTTCTCTATATAGATTTGCACCTTTCCTGGAACTTATTCTGTAACTCAGGCTGGCCTCAAACTCACAGAGATCCACCTGCCTCTGCCCCCGAGTGCTGGGATTAAAGGCGTGCACCACCACTGCCCGGCTAAAAGCCCTCTCTTCAATGGCATGAATCCATTCAGAGGACACAGCTCTCGTGACATACACAAGACTCCACCTTCCAACACTGTCCTGTGGGGACTCCATTTCCAGTGCAGGAATTCAGTGAGAGACTCATGTAAAAGCATATCAGGAATAAACCAGGGCAAGGCCGACTATCACAAAAGGAAGGTTGTTATAGGGCCTGTCCAGTCCCATCGCTCCATCCCCTCAACACTGAAACATTTCTTCCAGGAAGGAGAGGGAGGCTCAGAGGCCTCTGATGGTAAAATGAGGTAAAATTAATAATGATGATGATCATGATGTCAAAAATGGAGGCTTCTTTTTTTGGGGGGGGGACGGTGGGGTGGGGTTCAAGACAGGGTTTCTCTGTGTAGCCCTGGCTGTCCTGGAACTCTATAGACCAGGCTGGCCTCGAACTCAGAGATCTGCCGGCCTCTGCCTCATGAGTGTGGGGATTAAAGGCCTGCATCACCACCACCACCCCCCCCAGAATGCAAGATTCTTAAGGGCCCCTGTTGGTGGGCATGGAGACGCTGACCAGCCAAATTGCTGGTCAAAGAAAGAGAAGTTCAGGCTGACGGCGCTGCCCACAAGAGCTCCGGGGCTCCAGGATTGCAATGTTGAGGGTTCATCGGCCACACTGGGGTGGGCTTGGTGCAGCTATTTTGAGCCGTCCCTGCTCCTTGAAAGTCACTCCCCACCTGCACCCCTGTTAGTGACCCCAATAAACACTCACTGGTTCGCCATGGGACACAGGTGCAGTTGTTACTTTGGTTTGTCATGGACTCCCCTTTCTGAGGTGAGGACATGGGTGTGCTGGGCCTCCCCAGGAGAAGTCTATCACACAAGTCAGGACTTTCTGAATTATGGACTTCTCCAGAGATGATGCTTTTAGCAAAAGCATCTCTGTTTCTTCAAATGATTTAAGGGATATTTTGATAAAAATTACTGTGAGAAACGAGGGTCCTGGGGAGGGAGGAGGCAGGGATTTAATTGGCCTCTAGGCAGAGCAGTAAGAGATGACAGTTAAACCTAATGGTTAAGAAAGGCCTTGCGGGCCGGGCGGTGGTGGCGCACGCCTTTAATCCCAGCACTCGGGAGGCAGAGCCAGGCAGATCTCTGTGAGTTCGAGGCCAGCCTGGGCTACCAAGTGAGTTCCAGGAAAGGCGCAAAGCTACACAGAGAAACCCTGTCTTGAAAAACCAAAAAAAAAAAAAAAAAAAAAAAAAAGAAAGGCCTTGCGGAAGAAGCTGCCTTTAAGGTGACCAAATAGCTTTGGATGACTGGAGATGGCTGGGGGGGGGGAGGGGGGGGGTGAGAAGAGGTCTCTTAGGGGTAAAACAACTTAAGCCAAGGTGTAGGCTGAGGAAGGATAAGACCCATCCAAGGTCTCAGTTATACATCGCAGCACCACAAACTAAACTAAACGCCCATGGCCTACAACAGCCACGACTTGTGACTGTCTCTCAGAAGTCTGAGAGCTAAGGAGGCTCAGCTGGCCCATTCTCCCTTGGGTGGCTCTCGTGTGGCTGCACTAGATAGTGGATGAGGCAGGAATTATCTTGACGTTTCCTCAGAAGAGCCTGGCAGTTGGTGCTGGCTGTTGGCTGCCAGCCAAAGTACCGACTTGGGGCTTTGCCATGTGACCTGGGCTTTCCTGTGACAAGGTGGCTAGGTTCCAAGAGCAAGCATCCCCAGGAGGACTAAGGTTGACACAGCCTTACCTTTCCTAACCTGCCTCAGGAAGCACATGACACCACTTTGGCTATAGTCATGGGCCCATTTGGATTCAGGAGAAGGGTGGAAGAATTATCAGGGTCATATTGTGAAAAGAACATATGGAATGGAAAGTTATGGCGAAGGCCCTCCTGTTTGCACAATTATTAATGCTCTATTGACTCAACCTACACTACTGCCTCTCTACATGATCTCTTGTACCCCTGGCTAGCCTTGAACTCACTGTGTAGACAGGAGGAAGGGGGTTTAAAATATTCTATTAAACTGTGATAATTATGAGTGACAAACATTCACTGAATATTTTGTTTGTAACACCACTTCATGTATACTAGGCTAGCCTCAAACTTCCTATGTAGAGGAGAATCACCTTTAGTCTTCAGATCCTCCTGCCTCCACTTCCCAAATGCTCAGATTACATGAACGGACCATAACACCTGGTTTTAGGTAATACTGTGGCTCAGACCCAGGGCTTTGTGCATGCTAGGCAAGCACTCTACCAGCTGATTTACACCCTAAGCCCTCCAAAGTGTCCTCCCACAGGGTCCAGTGTCATCCATCTGTTTGACCCTGTGGCATCCAAAGGCTATGAAGTTTGCACTTTCTATGGACAAGGTGACCTAGATGATTTTGACCAGAATAACACAGGGGTGAGCTTCTTGCTTTAAAATGATCAGTGTGATAATATCACCCAAGACAGACTACAGAGAGAAGAGATTAGATAATAAAAACAGTAAGTGCTAAGACAGTGGCCCTACTCATCAACTCCCTGCTCAGTACAACAAAATGATGCTTAAGTGTGATTGATGGTGTCCTCCACATTCTTTACCAAAGCATTCAGTCTTCAGGGTGCTCTCAGTGGGCCTCGATTCCTACAGAAGCAGATGGTCCTGTGCCCAGTATCAAATTGCTAGGTCATGGGAAGTAATTAGACTTCCTAGGAACACATAGAAAGGGAGCACTTTGGGGATACTAACTCATATTTCTCCCACTCAGCAAAGGACACAGGCTCCCTGGAAAGCAAGCCTGACATGATCACCAAGTCACTCAATTCCCGAGAGCTCCAATAGCTGGAAGCCCAGGGTGAGTGTGACATTGCCCAATAAAGTGAGGGAATCCAAAGGAGGAGGCTGTGCGGTCTGTCTGGCCGGCAATCGGAAGCTTAGCTGCCGTCACTCCCAGTTTCCCTCTAGACCTGTCAGGGGATTTGTGTCAGGCAATAGAAACTCCAGTTTGAGTCTGTTTTTTGAAGTTTCTTTCACTAACTAGTGTTATTTTATTGGACAAACTGCCAAAATTCACCTATTCTTTCTCTGAGCGCTTTTCTTCCTTTCCCGTTGGTGCTAGACAGTCATTTTCCCTAATGCTATATAATTTTAAAGAGGCTGTGTCAATTGCATAAAATATTTCTAATCTCCATAATTAAGATGCTGCTGGCCTGACAGCTCCGCTCTCTCACTCCCCCTCAGCAAGTTGCAGGCACGTAAAAAGACATTTCAAAAGAGTACTAAAGCAAGAATGACATGCTGTTCCCGTCCCAGAGGGCCTGCTCAAGACTGTCTACAGCCTCGCTAGGCTCTCTTCTGGAGAGGTTCAGTTTTGGCTTCTTCAGAAAAGAGATTAATGTCAAGGTTCTCATGACCATCATCGATACGTTTCCCGAAAAATGTACACCTGTCTCCAGTTTCTGTTAGCCCTGCTTCTGGCCTGTCTTCAATCAACCAGGAAAACACTGGACTTGGAAGAGTCACCAGTGGAATGACCAAATCCTGAGGTCAGAGACAAATCAAGAGTGAGAAATAATACATCACTGGAGTGGATAGAGAGGAGGCTTTCACCGTTACATAGTCCACTTTCCTCTTCTTTGAGGGGAAAAAAAAAGTAACAATTTACCCCCATTTTCACACTCACTTCTTCACCCATCCTGTGTGTTAAGTCATCTATTCAGTTCTGGGGGCACAAAAGTCTCTTTTCATCTTGATGGTACATCTATTGAGTTAAAAAATAAAAATAAAAATTACTCTTTTTAACAATTAGCACAGAGAAGTATAAACATAATCTAGGTAGAGTTGATTATGCTGGGATAATGAATTTACCCTCAAAGCCACATGTTTTAACAACAACAACAACAACATCAAAACCAGGTTTATTTCTCCCTCACAGCATGTAGGACACAGCAGTTGGCCCACTAGAGAGAGGTAGGGTTGGTAGTGCCTGTTCCACATAGTCATCCTGGGGTTCAGGCTTTGGAGGCTCAGAGATACTTTATCTGTGCAAATCAATAAGTTGTCCCCAGGAAAGACAGGATTAGACATTATTTTTATCACTTTAGCACCAAAATGACACATATTTCTTTTTGTTACATTTTACTAGGGTCAGTCGAGTCTTCTCACAAAAATAGGAGCAGGAGGTGAAAGAAAGATTTGGCAATGTGACTATTTCTACTATTCCTCTAAGGGAGAAACATTTCCCCACTGTCCAATATCTAGAAAATGGCAGGACTGTCTCGCAAATCCAGGTCGTCGGAACCCTAAACCCTTAACTACTGTGGTTTCTCTTCATGGTACCATCGTCCTTTTGGGGTGGAATTGACTGTGGTTCGGGGAGACAGCTCTAAGAGCTCTGCACTTGACCCAGGTGAGTATCCGCTTTGCTGTTACAGCCTTAGCTTGTCACTGTCCCTTAACTTGTCTGCTAAAAGTCAATCCCCTGCCTCTAAATGATGAAGAAGAGGACTCTTATATTTTTGGTTGTGAGCCTAGCCTTTAACGGCTGAGCCATCTCTCCAGCCCAAGAAGAGGACTCTTACTGGATGGCTGTGAGGAAAGTATAAGGACCTTCACTGTATATTATACACCCTTAAAACTGGTTGTCAGTTCTTTAAAAAAATTCTTTATTATATAAAGAATTATTATCATAATTATTATTACAAACTATTTATTTAGTGTGAGTGAGTGCGTATGGAAGTCAGAGGACAGCTTGAAGGTGTCAGTTCTCTCTTTCTACCATATGGGTTCTGGGACTGAACTCAGGCTTGGCCACAAGTGCCTTCAGACACTAAGCTATCTTGCTGGCCCAGTATCAGTTCTTAGCCTTTCCTCTTTCTGACCCTCTTTCTCTCTCTACTTGTATGTTCCCAGCAATGCAAGGCCTTCCGTTGTTTGGTTTGCTTTTATTTTCTTATTTTGTTGCTTGTTTGTGCTTCCCTCTCCAGAAGCGCTATTGAAACGCTGCCAGAGGGAAGACGTCGGTTGCCCACCTCAACGATGCCAGCAGGTAAGTCTGGCTGACTCTCTTACCAGTCCTTCCCCTGACAGCAGCAGCTTTCTTTATACATTGCCCAGCACAGCTCATTCGTGACTCCGGGGGGAAAGGAAAGGATAATGTCACAGTGAAGCCTCCAATGTGGCTTGAGTGCCATCACACGTTTAAAAACACCGTAAACACTGGAGCAACTCTAGCCGGTAAATGTCAAGGCACACATAATACGACATGAGTGTGGCGCCTGTAGGTATCACCCGATGAGCAGGCCATTTGGTCCTCCATCACGTCCTCTTCAAAACACTGACAGTCAGTCCTCAATATTATTTCAAAGAAGTTAAATGTGGATTAAAGTGACTAGTAAGAGCAGGAAAACATCTTATTTAGAAGCCCGCTATACGTTTTTCTCTCCAGGGAAAGAAAATGGCTTCCTCAGAAAGGTACATAAGTTCAGGTCCCTGGGCCATCACTCGGGAGAGCATTGGTAGAAATAACTTACAATCTAGGACCCTAGGTTCATGGTGAAGGTCATGAACTTCCCCAAGCAAGGCTCTCTTTTGAGCCTGAAGCGCACCGTCTTTATTTCTCCTTTTTCCTTTTTCTTTTTTTTTTTTTCCGAGACAGGTTTTTCTCTATGTAACAGCCCCGGCTGTCCTGAAACTCACTCTGTAGGCCAGGCTAGCCTCGAACTTACAGAAATCTGCCTACCTGTGCCTCCTGAGTGCTGGGATTAAAGGCGTGTATCACCACTGCCCAGCTTTCTTTTTCCTTTCTTGTTAAGAACTCAAACACCCTGATGTACTAGTTGCAGTTTGTGACTGTGGAGTCAGATAAATATCAGCAGCTCTGCAAATCACAGAATATGGGGGCATTCTGCAAATGACATGCATCCTCAAAAATGAGGGAGAATCCTTCCCAAGGCTCCAGGAGAGAGCCTGGTTCATGAGCCACCGGCAATCAACCACTTTTAATCCACTGCTTTCAATGACAATATTATTATCAATAATTTTTTCTTAATTTATTTTTTCACTTTTCAGAAGATATTTACAATTTAGAAAAGTGCACATCAGCTGGGAATGGCTCATGGAGATGCATGGGGCCCTCGTTCTGAAAATAAATGAAAGAATACATGTGAGGTTTTTTTAAATTATAGCTTTTCTAATTTTCCCCCACTCTTGGGATTGAACCTATGAACTAAAACATGCTAGGTAAATTCTCTACTACTGAGATACATCTAATCTCTATCTATCTATCTATCTATCTATCTATCTATCTATCTATCTATCATCTATCATCAACTATCTATCTTTCTATCTACTAGACAGGGTCTTCCCAAGTTGCCCAGCTGACCTTGAACTCACTAAGTAGCCTAGACAATCCCTGAATTCATGATCTGTAGTTGGCATTTTCTTTGAGCTGCCAACCAGCTCCCAAATACAGACATGGAGACTTACTATTAATTATAAATGCTCAGTCTTAGCCTAGGCTTGTTTCTAACTAACTTTTTTCTTTACTTAAATTAACCCATTTCTATTAATCTATGTGCTGCCCCCAGGCTCATTTACCTCATCTACATACTTTCCATCTTGCTTCCTCTATGTCTGGTTAGGTGGCCCCTGGAAGGCTGGCCAACTCCCCTTTTCTCTCATGGGCATATGTGCATGTGTATTTGTGTGTGTGTGTGTGTGTGTGTGTGTGTGTGTGTGTGTGTGTGTGTGTGTGTGTGTGTGTGTGTATGTGTGTGTGTGTGTGCACACACATTTGAGTGCAAGTGCCTATGTAGTTCAGAAGGGGGCATCAGATTCCTTAGAGCTCAAGTTCCAGGCCATTTTGAGTCATCCAACATGGAAACCAAACTCTGCAAGAGCAGTATGTGCTCTTAATCCATTTGACATCTTTTCAGCCTCTTCATCTTACATTTAGAGGCAATGACTTTCAATGAGCCAGGAGCTCACCTCTTATCTAGAATGGTCAGCCAGTGAGCTCCAAGGGTCCTCTTTTCTCTGCCTCCTGAGCTCTGGGGTTACAGATGGGCACTGCTGTGATCAGTTTTTCAGCCGGAGGCAAGAAATCGGGTCCTCATGTTTGGCTTACTGACTAAGCCATGTCTCCAGCCTCAGTAGATACTTTCTAATTAATAAGATACACAAAAATCTTTTTAAATGTATGCAGAAGATGATAAATAATGACAGCCAATTACTGATCATTTACTGTATCCCAGGAACTACACATTTGTTCCTGTATTTAATCCTCACTCTGAACCTGTGAGGCACTTCATTTCCACATGAGGCTTCTGTCTCTTTTTCTCCCTGCCACTTTCTCTTTTTCCCACCCTTCTTCTCTTTACTCTTTCTTTCTCTAAAGGAGGTAACTGAGATCCAGTGAGGTCTTCTACACAGGTAGAGGTTGTGAACCTAAGCCTGCATGTAAGATGCAAATCTGGGATTCAAACATCTTTGTTTGATTAAATGCCCAAGAATTCTGCTGCTTGATATCAACTCCATGTCCCCAATGACCATTATCAATATTTTAGTACATTTACTTTCCATTTCTTTTCCACATGTGCAACCTGAGATATAGCTATAGGTAATGTATGCATATGGGTGTATGTATATATATATATATATATATATATATGGATTTTTAAAAAATAAATTAGATTTGTGTTGTGTACAATGCCATTTTGTATACTACTTTTTAAACTGATTGCTACATTGTTGCATTCCCTGGTCCTTGTGGACGCTTCTAAAGCATAACTTTCAGTGACTGCAAGATAGTCATCATATGCTCTATTGTGCTGGAATGAAGAAATGCCAATGCACTGGATTTCATGATTTTTTATGTTAAATAAAGTTCTTAGAAGTATGGATTGTTACAACCTTTCTGAATGTCAATTTGGTTATATATCATGAGCCTTAGGAAGCTCTTGTCTTTAAAACTTCACTTACAGAAATTTACTCAAAGGAAATTACAGGATTTGTAGAAAGATTGATGCATGAGGCTGTTTACCGCAATAGCTATAAAGCCTTTATGCGGGTGGATGCAATATGAGAAGGAACTGGTAATATCTTTATGGTGGCCGACACTTAGTTGCTGAGTTGATGATGGCTTTTATTAGATACACTTTCTGAAAATGCTGTAAGTATGAATGGCTTCTGGAAATTTGGAAATGAGTATTTGAAAACTTGCTGGTAGTTTTTTGGTGAATTCTAACCCATCCATCGTTGAATCCTTATCTTCCAGGCCAGGTTTGATTAAAATGGTCTGTGTGCTCACACTTTCCAATAATCTTTAGCTTATGCTATAAATAAATGTCACTTACTATCTTCTCATAGTTCCTTTAATCCTCAACAACTAACGGCTCATCTCCATCAATTCTATGATAACTCCTAAACCACCAGAGACAGCGCATTCATTTGATTCTCTGACAGGTTTTTTTTAAGGTCATTTCTTTCATTAGGACATTCAAGAAATAATTAAACAGACATACTTTTTTTCTAGCCAGATGGAGTATTTTTAAAGATTTTATTATTATTATTTTATTTTGTGTGTATGACTGTCTTGGGTGCATGTATATCTGTGCACCACATGCATGCAGTAGCTATAGAGGCCAGAAGAGCCCTGGAGCCCATAGTGGTGGGGAGAAAATTCTCCTGTGTACATGCTCTAGGGCACACATACACAACACGCATCAGGACACATGCACTAAGAAATAAAAAAAAAATTAAATTGAATTTCTTCCTTGTAATTATCTCTCTCCAGAAAATTTAGAAATTGTTAACAATTTCTGGAAGTTTAGGAGAAAATAGCTGCTATGGCTTTAGTTGGAAAGTCTCCTGCAGTTTCACATATTTGAGCCCTTGGGCCTCAGTGTGGGGCAGGTTGTTAGACCTCTGCACTTAGGGCCTCAGCTAGTGTCAGTGGTCACAGTGGGGGGGGCCTTGATGGCTATACTTGACAGAGGCTCTGGTCCTAGCTCTCTATCTCTTGATTCACCGAGATGTGTGGAGTTCATGCTCCTGCCTGTGTGGCCAGAGCCACAACCGGCCACCATGCCTTTCCCTCCAACGTGGACTCTTCCCTCTGGAGTAATGAACCAACGCTGTGTCTCCTTCCTTAAGTTGCTTCTGGTACTTCTCCTTTAAATTTTTTATATATGTGCATACACACACACACACACACACACACACACACACACACACACACGGATAGTTGAACATGACAATAAGAAAAGTAACCAATGCAACGCATTAGCTGTTAGCCTCAGCAAGTCTCTCTTAGGACCCAGTTTTCCCATCTGTATAAATGACACCAACTCATGAGTTATAATCCTTAGGTAAAAAGAGAACAGTAAAAGAGAGAACAGTAAAAGACTGGGTATTAGTTCTTTCTAGTTCCAATTCTGAAGAAAAGATGTGAAGATATAAATTCTTGGGCCTGGAGAGATGGCTTAGCAGTTAAGACCTCTTGCTGCTCTTGCAGAGGGCCAGTGTTTGGTTCCCAGCACCCATGTCAGGCAGCTCACAGCCACCTGTAGGTTCAGGCTAGTGGGTCCAATGCCCTTTTCTGGCCTCTGTATAAACCCCCCACCACACACACACACCTACACACTTACCACACACATGTTCACACACATATTCACAGAAATAAAAATGTTGCCGGGCGGTGGTGGTGCACGCCTTTAATCCCAGCACTCGGGAGGCAGAGGCAAGCGGATCTCTGTGAGTTCGAGGCCAGCCTGGTCTACAGCGCGAGATCCAGGAAAGGCGCAAAGCTACACAGAGAAACCCTGTCTCGAAAAAACCAAAAAAAAAAAAAAAAAAAAAGTTAAAGACACTTTGTTTGTTTGTTTGGTTTTTGTTTTGTTTTGGTTTTTGTTTTTTCAAGACAGGGTTTCTCTGTGTACCCCTGGCTGTCCTGGAACTCATTCTGTAGACCAGGCTGGCCTTGAACTCAGAGAGCCACCCGACTCTGCTTCCTGAGTGTTGGGATTAAAGGCATGTGCCACCACCGCCCAGCTACACTTTTTTTTTTTAAGGTGAAAATTCTCTGAATGAAATCTGTTAAGGGGCTTAGTATAGTGTGGGGAAAGGATGCTGGACTTGAAGCTATGCGGTCCTGAAAGTGCCTCTCCCATTTATGAGCCTTAAGCAAGTTAATAAACTCTGGCTTCTTGGCGATGCGTCCCTCCATTTTCACAGGTTTCTCTAAAGGAGCTGTGATGTGTTTTATTTTCCCAACTCTGACTGGGCATGGCTGGGACTTAGGAATCTGTGGATGGTACGTTTTGTTCCTTTTAGAAAAGTTCCAGCATTTCAGTATTCAAATACTGCCTCTAAGAGCACCATGATGTGACTGCTGGGAATGGCTTTACCATGCATCAACAATGAAAGGAACTGAATAACTGGCATCTGGGGAGTAGACATGTGGGTTTTATGGCACATTCTTTGCTTTTTTTCTTTCGTGTGTGCTTAAGTAACTTTACCATAAAAATAAAGAGACCCGAGAAGAATGGCCGCCACTCTGTCCCCTTGTGGAACTTGCACAGACCTTCTCTCCAGCCTCGTGTCTCCTAATGATCATAGTTTTGTATTTTTATCTCTTGTGTCACATTCTGGGTAATTTTATCTAACCTATTTTTACTCCAATTATTCTTCCTTCAATTTCATTTAATATGTTATTGAATATTTAATTTCAGCTATTATAATTTTTATTTATAGAGACACTGATTCTTTTTTAAAAAATATGTTCGAATTTTTTTTGTACTTTCTTGTTCCTTATCATTTTTTCTCTAATTATAGACGACTTCTCTGTAGGGATTTTTTAAAATGCTTTATTTCCCAGCTATTTGAAAACAACAACAAACTAGAAGGCCCAGTTGTCTTCAGAGTAGTGGCTAAGGAATTTTGTCTTGTGGAAACAGATCCCGAAGAACAGAGTTCTGAAGCTCCCTCCAAAGCAACAGCCTCATTGGAAGCACTGTTTGGGGAAATTCAAGTGTAAAGAATATCTCAAAAATAATGGAGATTTTGATGGTAAACAGTTGAGAGAAGGTTGGTAGTTCCACAGGGCAAGAAACTACAACCACAGGCCAAGTGGTGTACAGAAACCCAGGGAAAGATGAACAGCAAAGAAGGACCTTCTGGGGTCAGAACAGACTTTGAACACTGGGCTCAGTGACTTACCAGGAAGGATGAGATTTAATTGGATTAGATTTTCAGGCAAGTTATGTTCCAGGGCTTTGTCAAAAGCAGTAAAGCAATCAGCTGGCAATTAGTGGAGTCTCACAAAGGCAGGCAGCTTAACAGAGAGATCTGGAAAAAGACAAAAGCCCAGCTGAGACTCCTGGCATCCATGGCGACTACACATGTCCAAGGCACTGGACGCCCTCTGAGGAGTGATGTCAGAGGCGTCACTCAACACACAAAATAGACCTCATTAAAATAATCCAGGCAAGTCCTTGAACCAATAAGTAAGCAAACAACAATAAAACAAGCCTTTGGTGAGGGAGGAAATGAATCTCTGGAAATTTATACTGTATTATTAAATCCTTACAAAGACACACAAAGAGAGAGAGAAATGTGTCGTCCAACAAACGGTGTAGGTAGTGGAAACTGCCTTGGAAAGACTGCTGGTTCAGATGTCAAGTTTGCTGGACAAAGCTGTCAAGTCAGCCGTCATAAACATAGTCGAGGAATGGAAGGAAACGGTGCTTGATGAAGATGGGTATGATAATAGAGTATCAGTGAGTAGACGGAAACTATTTTTAGAAAGAACCAAGCAGAGAGTTGTAGGTCTGGATTTGGGCAGTACAGCGACTGAATTTAGAATTTCACTAGAGGGATTTAATAGCCCATTGGGGGGTAGATTAGGACTGGACTAAAGGTGAATTAGCAAACATGAAGAAAGGATGATAGAGATTATATGACTAAAGAACAGATCAAGGAAACAATGAAAAATAAACAGAGGATCAAAGAAATGGACAAGTCAAGACATTCAACAGGCTGCTAGTAGAACAGATGCACACCCAGACCCACCATGGCAAAAAATGCAAAAGACACTTTCAAAGAGAGAAAAATTGAAAGCGTCAAGAAAGAAAAGAGACTCCTCACATACAAGAGGACCCTAATAACATTAAAAGTTGATTTTTTTTTGTCAAAGCCAATGGAGACCATAAGGCAATATGATCAAATATTCACAGTGCTGAAAGAATAACAGCCAGGTAAGAATGTCACACCCAGAAAAAAAAAAAAAAAACGCTTCAGATCATTCCCCCGTCTCTTGGCTGAGCTCAAGTGCTGTAAAACTTTTGGATAACTTCTAGCATAGCGTCAAAATTACATATTACATGACTGAGTGGTTAAGAGCATTGGCTGCTCTGCAGAGGACCTGGGTTTGATTCACAGCACCTGCATGGTGGCTCACAAGTATCTGTAGCTCCAGTCCCAGGAAAACCAGCGCCCTCTTCTGGCTGCAGTGGGCACTGTACTCATGGTGTGTACAGACATACATGCAGGCAACCCCCCCCCCCCCCACATAAGATAAAATAAATAGATCTTTAAAAGAGATTTTTAAAAATTGCAAATTATGGTCTACACAGGTGTCAAATTCTCTGTCCTCCTAAAACATATTTCCCTCATGAAACCTGATTGTGCTGCTGTTTTTTTCTGCCTGTCGCCTGCTGCCACAGAACCCTTTAAACAGGCTGCTTCCCCTGTCTAGAACACTCTTGTCTTCATACACTTAAATCTTGCCTTTGGAGCTCAGCTCAAGCTCTGATTCCTCTGGGAACCCTTCTCCCATCTCCCTGCCTGGCAAGATATACATACTCCCATGTGTTTCTCTTTCAGAGCTGTGATATTATATATAGGTTGGTGTATTTGATTAAAAAGACTATGTTGTAAATTTTACAAGGAGAACTGGAGAGATGGCTCAGTGGTTAAGAGCACTTACTGCTTTTCCAGAGGACCAGAGTTCAGTTTTCAACCTCCAACTCAGGTGACTCGTAACCACCTATAACTCTAGCTTCAGGGGATCTGACACCATCTTCTGAATTCACACCTACATTCACGTGCACATTACCACAGACAGATACACATATACATATTGTTAAAAAACAAAAAATAGATCTAAAGAAAATTCTACAAGGGAATAAAATGTATGTGTGCCTTTGTTTTGCTGTAGGGTAAGACGACTGAAAGATTTTACTGAGGAATAGTGATCATTGCATCAGGCAAGACCTGTCTGTGGTGTCTGCCCAGAGATCGGTAAGGATGCGGTTGTAGTGTTCCAAAGGAGCGTTCATCAGTGTGTGGAGACCAGTCAGGGGATGTCTGCCCAGAGATCGGTAAGGATGTGGTTGGAGTGATCCAAAGGAGCGTTCATCAGTGTGTTGAGACCAGGTCAGGGGATGAAATGCAAAGTATGTCAGCTCTAGGGGTGAAGTCAGAGCAGAAGGACCCATCAGTGGATGGGATGCCAGCTTGCACAATGCAATAAAATGGTTTCATTTCGGTCACTAGAGTCAGACTGTTGAGAGTGGGGATGTGGGCAGACTGAGTTCACTTCGGAACCACTAATTCTGAGGTGTCAGGGAGACCTCTGACAATCATTTTAAGTAAGCAGTTGGGCACAGGATTCTGGAATGTGGAGTTGTTGAGTGTGCAGATCTGCAAAGGCAATCTGAAGCAATTGTGGTTAGCCCTGAGGCTCCACTCCTCCTTCACACCCAGGGTGCACTGTTACGGTCAGTCCCCAGCTGCAGCTCTGCTCTGTCCCAACCCTAATAAAGCTTGGAATGTCCTCCCCAAACTCCAGCTGGTCTCTGCTTTCTCTGAACCCCACCCTGAAGGAGGGGTTTGTCAAGGCTCTTGGGGGATCCTTTTGTATTCGGCTGGTCCCAAGAAGAAAAACTGCTTCTCAAAGTTAATGAAAAGTCTTTTTGTGTCTCTTTAGTTTGAGTCTCCCAGCCTAAAGCTCAGAGGCAGTCTGTGTGCTGTACCCTGAGGCGGAAGGCATATTTTTCTGTTTGTGGGCCAGTTCTCAAAGGTCAGGCAGCTGGCCTAAGTCACGCCGATGGGCTATGGCATTTTACGGAATGAGATTTTTTTCAGCTCAAGGGAATTCTAGAAATTTTCCAAATGAGGCCTTTGTCTCCAAATCATAGTGATAATTACCTTACTGGCAAAATCAGAATTCCCACTCAGGTCTGACAGAAAGCCCATTGCTAGAGCTAGGGAGGTGATTCAGTAGGACCCAAGTCCAAATCCCCAAACCCACATTAAAAAGCCAGCAAAGCGATAGGTAGAGTCAGAGTCAAAACAAGGGGGAGGAGCAAGAACCAAATCCTGAAAGTTGCTGGCTGGCTTCCACATCCATGGTGTGGCACATGCTTGCTTCCTCTGCTCCCCCGATGTGTCTGTCTCTCTCTCTCTCATACATACACAAATAAATAAATAAATAAATAATGATTTTCAAAAAAACGGCCCATGGCTTTTTCCTGACCACAGTTTCTAGCTTCTTGGTGGATCTTTTCCATATCAAACACCATTCCTAACACATAGTATAACTGAATGTGGGGGTTGTGAAACATTTGGCAAGAGTAAAAGGTTTCTGAATTCAAAACCCAACGTGTAATGAATCTGAGCTGTTCTTGGCAGCACTGATCCCTGTTGAGTCCTGAGACTTCACTGCTGCCCGGGTTGTGAACACACAACACGTGAGCTTCGAACCGTGCATGTGGTCATGCCTTGCGTGCCAAGAAATGTTGCTTGCAATACCTTGGCTCTAGTAAGAGACTATTGTATGTTCTGGTTGCAGTGTTTTTACTGCACGTACATGTCTTCTGCCTTCATGGAACATAATGGTTTAATTATAGAAAAGGAAAAGACTTTTAATAGTTTGCTCTGATCATCTTCAGCACATATCAGGTCGGCATATATTTGGAGTGTACTGTGTTAGAATGTTTGATTTTAAAAATTGCTATTTAAGTTGCTGACTTCAGTTTCATTAAAAAAAAAATCATTTAATGAATTTTGGCCCTGAAATGGTCCTGAACATACTTCTGCTGTTCTGCACTACATATACATTTATTTGAAACAACATTTTCTGCATTGATTATATAATCAGAACATTGATCAACTCTGATAAATGTTGAAGATGCTTTACGGTACTGCAGGATCAAATATTCAGCCACGATTTAATTCTTTTTTTTTTTTTTTTTTTTTTTTGGTTTTTCGAGACAGGGTTTCTCTGTGTAGCTTTGCGCCTTTCCTGGAACTCGCTTTGGAGACCAGGCTGGCCTCGAACTCACAGAGATCCGCCTGGCTCTGCCTCCCGAGTGCTGGGATTAAAGGCGTGTGCCACCACCGCCCGGCTTAATTCTTAATGTATAAATAACGTGAATGAAAAAAAAAGAAATAAAAAGGAAAGGAAGGACTGCTCCTGGGTGTGGTGGAGGAGAAAGTTTATTGTAGATATGTAGAAGAGCACAGCCAGAGTCAGGGACATCTGGGAGAGTCCAGAGTGGACATGACCCTGAACCTTGTGAGGAGGGAAGGAGAAGGGAGGGGAGAGAGGGGAACCAGGTGCAGCAGCCAGGAGGCCCAAAGAGCAGACGGTAGAGCCATGTAACCAAAATGGTTGGATTATATAGGGAAGGGCAGCTGGAGGAAGGGCAGCCCAGCCCCTGGGCTGGAGCAGTTTAGGGTAGGGGAGTGGGGTGTGTCACCAGGAGGGCTCTGTAACAGGTGGGGACTGAGGGATTGCAGGGAGAACCTGGTGGCCAGGGCCAGGTCTGCTTTGATAGGTTCAATAGGTACCTCAGCATTTGTCCCAGGTTTGAAACCAAACATCATCCATCCAATAACATGAAACTTTGCTTTAATAGCAGTCAAATCACATGTATGCCAAAGAGCTGCTTTAAAAGAATTCTTTATGATTTCATAAATGTCTCATTTTCCTACCTAGTTTATGCATATGGGTGCCAGGAGTCATGTAAAGAATTCTAGAGCAAAGGGGGTTGGCTAGTGAACATTTTAAGCAGCCGTGGTATAACTGCTTTTGCTGGGAAGCCCTGGCTCCTCATTTGGGCTCACCAGGTAACACAAGGATAAAAGCCTGGTGTTTCTGCCTTCACTGTGTAGCTGCCTTCTTCTCTTGGCCAGTCATCTGTTTGCCTCTGCATGGAGGCATGTTAGTCTCTCAATGAATATCTGTCTAAACACTGGTGGCACTTAACGTCTCTCATCCCCTTTCAAGGCTAAAGACACAAAGACCCAGGTAACTGAAGCATCTTCCCTCAGCCATTGTCCTAAGCCTGCAGTCATCTGGAGGCAGAAGAATAGGACACAAAATTAGTACAGGAGAAATACCTTGTTGGCAAAGAGGCAGGCTAGATCTGCCCCCTTTCTCCCCAAGGCTAACTGGAACTGGCCCAGGCACACAAAGGTGAAGGTGACCTATGGCTAATTACATACCCAAGATACACTCCCCTGGGTGGAGCCTTGAGCTCACAGAGACCCACCTGCTTCTTCCTCCTGAGTGTTTTGATTCCAGGCATGGTGATCATCTTTGTGTGGGTCCTGAGTGTTTGGATTAAAGGCATGGATACGGGTATCAGATGCACCAGTCAGGTGACCACAGTGACAATGACTTCTCTGAACCACCTTAAAGAACCAGAATGAGGATAATGGTCAACCAGACTGCACCTTGACTGAAATTGCTAGTTATACATCTCCCATTCCAATTTTTCCTCTTATTTAAACCTCAAGCCTATGGCAGCATATTGGACACAGACTTAGGGCACTGAGCCCCTTTATGTGTACTTCCCTGTGTGGTCACACTGATTAACTCTGCTTTCCCTGACTTTTGTCATTAATCTGGATGAATTACTGGCCCAGTATAATCTCTTGCAACTTCTAACCTTGAGGCTTCTGCCCTAAAACTCTAGTACCAATAGCCACGTCACAATTGTCATCCAATGAATAAGGAAGCAACAACCATGCTATTGCTATTTGTCCTCTCTTTGTTGCATAGCAGGGATGAGGTGGGGTGGGGCACAGAACAAAGGCCAAGCAGTACACTGTGCCAAGGGTTTGCAAGCAGTGTTACCAGCGAGAACAAATGACCTTTGCAGCCTCTGTCCTTCTGGTCATTTCATCAAATGGAAGCTAGAACTGCTGCTCATTCCTAGCACAAGCCCTAAAAACCACCTGGTGGAAAATACCAGTTCTGGGCTGTTGTATACGAAAAAAGTTTCACACCTAGGTGTCTGATCCAACTTGAGTTAATTTTAGTAAAAGGCATAAGATCTGTGTCTAGATTAATATTTTTCCATATGGATATCCAATCATTTCAGTATCTTATTGAAAAAGACCATCTTTTCTCCCCTAAAATGCTTATATTCCCTTGTCAAAGATCTGTTGACTCTATTTGTGTGGGTATATGTCTGGGCTCCCTATCCATCAGACTACCTGTACATCCCTTTGCAAATACCATATTATGAGGTGCATGAACAGATACAATTCTACAATGAGATACCTTTTAACGGCTGCCACAAACATCTGCTTAGAATTAGAAGCCCCCTGGATGGTTATAGGGTACATCTGTTGAGATGAGTTGATTTGGATTCATTTCTGCTGTGATTTACTCCAAGTCCAGGCTCTTGTCTTTCAAACCAGGAACAGAGTGCTGGAGGCCACCATCTGTTAGCGCATCAGTTCACCTTTCTCTGAGAAGTACTCAGCTTTACTATGGGGGACTTCCCCTCTGGAGACTTCCTCTCCTCATTCTTAGTCCCCGTGCCTCAGTGGAACCTGAGACAACTCCAGGCGCCAATGGGACCTTGGCCTTCAGTAGAATTAGCTGTTCCAGACAATTCGTCTTTATAAGACACCTGTGGACCCTTTACCCTGAAGGTAGACTGAAGAGTTTGGGGAACTTAGCCTGTGGCTGTCATATCACTACCTTTTAGAAGTCATGACTGAAACCAGCACACAAGAAAGTAGAGCCAAGATACCCCAGAAATCCTAAATCCGGATAACTCTTATTGAAACCTGAATCTATTTTCTTGGAGCAGGCACCAGCTCAGAGTTTTTCTGTTAAGTCATGAACCCATGAGCCGGCAGCATGGCTCAGTAGTAAAGGGATGTGGCACCAGGCCTGAGAATGTGAATGTGATTTCTGGGACCCACACAGTAGAGGGCCTGAATGGACGTCTACCAGTTGTCCTCTGCCTTCCACGCATCTGCTGTGGTTTGCTCATGCACACACATACAATAAACAAATAAACAAACACATCAAATGTGTTTTTGTTTTGGGGGGTTTGTTG